AACTAATCAATTCTGTTTCCTGTGCTGACGGAGCCCACGCAGCTGCCGGGTGACGAGTGAAGTTAAGAATCCAAGATCCTTCACGCATGCGTCAAAATGAACGAATCACTCACTGAGACTACCCGTTCCTCCCGAGTCATACACACGATTAGGTCTTATGAACGAAACGTTCTTTGAACGACACAACAGAGTGGAGAGGGTGACCAGTTCAAGATGGCGGCCCCACGGCTTCTGTTAATTATTTATTGTGTAAGTTTGTACTGACGATGATGATGTGTGTTGGACAGAGAGCGGAAGAAGACCAGATATGGAACTATGAAACGTTCTTATAGTAAGTATATCAATTTCATTCATCTAATTAATCAAATTTACTCAAACAAACCTTTAAGTTAAAATTAACTTCTGTCTCTATTAAAATGTCCTGAACTAAATAAGAAGCAGAAAGTCAACTACAACTAAGAGGATAAGATCAATTCTGGCTCAGGAGTCTGAAGATACAGAATATCTAACCAAATCAAATGAAGGCTTCATGATCTTTACACTGGAGAAGCTTAAATAAAAACTTTGCCTTTGAGTGTCACTTTGATGTATTGTACCTCTAAAATATTCTCTATATTATCTTTATTGTACTACCGTGCCAAAGCAAGACAAAGACGATGGCTATGGCTTTGGTTGAAAAACATTTTTTTAAAGGCATGTGGTAGGAGGTTTAGGACCATTTCGAGTAATCCTTACATTTTCTTCACTCACATATTTCACTTTTGTCTAGAAAAACTATTGTTTGATGCCACCTTTGTGTGTTTTAGATAAAATGGTTGAGCCTTTTGTTTGTTTGCATCTGCTTAGTTAGGCCTAGTTTTGTTGTACTGTTTTCATCTCCTTGTATTTGGCACAACCAACCTTATTTTATTTAACCATAGTTTGAGAACTATGGTTGAGACTTTGTGTGTGTGTGTGTGAGAGAGAGAGGGGGCATCTTCCACCTGTTTGCCTATTTAGATTTTTTCCCCAATGAATATATTTGTTTGACAGGGAATCTGTTGCAAACAGGAATAAATATACTGTACATTAATTTATAAAAAAAGAAAAAGAAAAAGCATCCCAGAAAATAGGGCACTTTCTCTTGAAGAAGAAAAAGGGGCAGGTGCTGAAGCCCCTTTAGATGTCTTTGTGTGCGCGTGCCTGCTCCAGAGGATGATGAATGGCGCCTGTGCAGCTTGTCTGGTGGTCTTCAGTTTTCTCTGGATGTTATCTCCTGCAGGAGGAGGTGAGTGAAGCGTTTACCTCAGATATACACAGATATACGAATAAGGTCAGAGCGTCCAGAGCCTTTATACCGCGTTAGAAAAGAAGAGGGAAGTGAGCTGCTGAACAATGAGACACGAGGTGAGGGTGGGGAACGGAAAAAAGGGGGCTTGCAAAATGAAACTTAATAGGTAAACTTTCTGGAAGCCTACTGAATGTACTTTATCGATCGGTTGTTTTCTTACCTTAGATACAGGATACAACAGAGCAGAATTTATTATATCAATGTTATGTTATTAATGTAGGCTACAGTACAGACGTGTCGCGTGCAGCCTGCGGTAGATATCAGGACACAGCCGCACTCCATTTAACCAAACTGCGAAGAAGGACGTAAATTTAAAATTTCACTGGATAATACCTTAATAAAGAGAGATCACAAATTGTAAACAGGCAGTGATTTGTAGCCTGACAGTATGAGGTTGTAGGCGACAACAAAGACTCATAAAACTGTTAATTATTAACATTTGCATGTTTAAACAAAGACCAACTGACTATTAATAAATGTTTGTTTTTAGTGGGAACTTTCTTTTACCCCTACATTAGCTCTTAAGAGCTTTTTGACTTTTAAATAGTTTATTTAATTTATGTCTGTCTCGCTAAACCAAGAAAAAAGTCAATTTAACACACTTTAACTCTGAGAAAGAAGACGTTATTCCCTCCAGTGAAGACAGACTAAAGAACTGATGGGGCTGCAGCACCATGTGCAGGTCCAGAAAAAAAACTTTCACTTTCATTTCCCCCTGAGGAATACAGAGGTTTACTGATAAAGTAAATAATAAATCTCTTTAAGTTATCAAGCAACATGCTGAATTTGACAGACCGCTTTATTACGTAAAGTTTATGCACCGATAAACGCTCTGTTTGCATCAATTTATGGTGGGAAATGTCAATTTATGTATATGAAAACACAATAAAATATAATGCAGTCAGGCCCTGAGGTATTCTGTAATGCTTAAAAACATTTATTCTCACGTAGATCAACTTCTCATTTAATATCCTCCATGTTCAGTCAACACACGTTTTACTTTTAAGGTAAGGTATAAAGAAATGTCATAATAAATGCAGAATATGTGGAATCTGCTCATCTGGACGGACCCACCGGTCACAGCTTGACCTTCTCAGACCAGAAACCAAGCAGAAGTCTGTGATCTTACAGCTTTAAGTTTTATTGTTGTGATCATTGTTAACGTGAGATTATGTAACCACAGTTCTCAGTCACAGCAATGAGGCACTGAGGCGTTGAAACACAGAGAGCAGAAGACAGAAGCAGCGCCGTAAATGAGACCAAAACATAGCAGCATATTTTTCCCCTGTTCTTTTGGCTAAGTGTTGTAGGAAAACGTTTATAACTCAATGGAAAGCTCTGACTTTTTTTACAAACTGCATCCACATTTTTGGCAGATTCCATTTTTATTATCAACTTCCTCGATTCCTTCTGCATTTTTTGCATCATGAAAATCACGGGGCCCTAGAGATACTCTGGTGATAAGCTGCTGTCTGTTTGTTTGGAGTATGAAATTCTTAAACACTGCATCTTTATAAGGTAATGTTGCGTTTATTAACAGATTAATTCAATTGAATTAAGTAATCATTGATGCGATGTTGAAACAAAACCTACACTCTTTCTCTTTCTGTGTCTTCTTAGTCATTTTGTTTCTCTTTATGGTCGTTGGATTTACTTTCCAACTATAAATATTAACAGTCACTTCAGAGTTTCCTATCCAGGACCTGTGCCCTGTAGGCCTGTTCAGTAATGCATGATACTGACCGTCTGTCTACGCCCCTGAATCCGTGTCTCGTCATGTAAACAAACAAAAACCTTCATTTATTGATTTCTAACTTCAAAATAAAGGTGCTGTTTGTACCTGATGTGTTGCAGATGCTGAGGTGTCCTGTGTTTTTATGGAGAGCTGCATCTTACCGTGCAGCTTCCAGGGCAGCACTGATGCAGTCATCCACTGGATTCATGAGACAGCAGGAGACACTCTTGTCCACTCCTACTATAACAACCAAGACCAGCTGGGACACCAGGACCAGCGCTTCAGAGGCAGGACATCACTGTTCAAGGACCAGATCTCTGGAGGAAACGCCTCGCTCCAGCTGACTGGGGTCCAGGTTCAGGACCAGGGCAGATACAAGTGCTACACCAGCACCATCAGAGGCAACAAGGAGTCATTTATCAACCTACAAGTGGACGGTACGAGAAACACACAGTAGATACACAAAACCATCAACTTGTGTTTATTTTATAGGTAGGTAGGTTTATTGTCACAATACAACAAGTTATAGAGTGAAATTGAGTTTTGTAACTCCCTTCTGCTACATAGCAGACAATATACATTACTACAGAATCAATTACAAAAGTGGTAGCAGAAATAAACTATCATCACTGGAGCAGAGCTGAGGATGAATTAGAGTTGAAGAGTCTGATAGCTTGTGGGGGGGGGGGGAGCTGCTCTGCAGTCTGGTGGTGTGTAGGGGTGGGAATCTCCTGGCTACTTGTTACTAATTTAGCTAACGTTACATAAATAAATAAATATATTTAGCGCTTTTCACGGGACCCAAGGACACTTTACACATAGTCACATTACAACAAAAAGTCATTCAGGATTGAATTCCTGGGTAAAGAGCTGGGTTTTCAGTAGTTTTTGAAAGTGTCCAGAAAGGGAGCTTTCAGATCTCTGTGTGGATGGATCCTTCAGTGTCCTTTGGGCTCTGCGTAGGCACCTCATCAGGAGATGGGTACCAATGATCTTCTGGGCAGTTTTAATCACCCGATGCGGAGCCCTCCGGTCCTGGGCCGTGCACATCCCATGTTAGTGATGTTTCCAGTCAGGATGCTTTCTGTTGCTCCTCTGTAAAAGCTGACAAGACCTCGGCGTGGGAATTGGGCTTAAGCTTCCTCAAGAAATATAGTCGTTTCCGAGTTTTCTTCACCAGCGTGGAGATGTCAGATGACCATGTCAGGTTCTCTGTGATGCTGATGTAGACAGGAGTGTGTCTTTATCTCATTATTCCTAAAATCAATGACCAGCTCTTTATGTACAGTAATTATCTAAATACTGTGGTGCTTGAAAGTTTGTGAACCTTTTTAGTATTTTCTATATTTCGACACAAATATGACCTAAAACATCCTCAGATTTTCACACAGGTCATAGAAAGTAGATCAGGAGAACACAAATTATCTGAGGATGCTTTAGGTCATATTTGTGTCGAAATATAGAAAATACTAAAGAGTTCACAAACTTTCAAGCACCATTGTATGTGTTATGAAATAGGTAAATTTAAAATGTAAACTATTCATCCGTTCATACAGCATCAAGATCTCTGTTTTTGCAGCTCCGGTCCATAAAGTCGACATGGAGCAGGAAGAAAACAGGATCACCTGCAGCTCAGAGGGGATCTACCCTGAGCCTGAACTCACCTGGTCCACCAGACCTCCGTCCAACGTGGCCTTGAAGAACCCAACCAGAGTCCAGCAGACTGAACAGCAGCTCTACAACATCTACAGCTCTCTGATACTTTCAGACAGGGTTACTGATCTGGTCTACAGCTGCACCGTCAGCACTTGCAGAAACAGGAGGAGAGTCACTTTGAGGGAACTGAGTGAGTATTACGTCTAATCTGTCAACTAAACCAATAAACCAGGTTGGTGTCTGCTCTGATCTAAAAGATTCCTGCAACTACACAACAACAAACTACTGTAAGAAGAGATTTGATTCACAAGTGTTTGGATCTGTTTATTCATTTATTGTTTTGTGTTGTATTATTCCAGCTTCTCTCGATGGTTCCAGCTCTGACACAACAATCCCCTGCTCTGCCTCAAACACTTCCCTTCTGAACTTCAGCCTCGTCTGGAGATTCAACCACAGTCAGATCATCCTGAACCGGACCAGGACCAGCGTCCCCTACACAGTCTCAGAGGAGTGGAGGCAGCAGGTGAAGGGTGTGTCTGAGTCAGGCAGCCTCACACTACAAGACTTGTCTTTGAAACAGGAGGGGATATACACCTGTGAACTCAGCGATGACGAGGAGACAAACATAACCAACACCCTGCTGAGGATACAAGGTGACATCAAGTCTGAATGAGTAAAAACTCTTTCTGTCATTTAAACTATCAGCATAAAATCTGAGGTTTAATATTTGGGCAGAGTTTCCACCAGAGGTTAAAGAGGCAGTTTATCAGTTTAAGAGCGCAATTGTTGTTGCACATGGACAAACACAGTCGGGGGTTATACGCACATGAACTATTGTAGGTCACACTGCTGAAAAAGATGATGTTGCTTCTGATATGGCGTTTTTCCATTACCAGTATCAGCTCAGCTCAACTCGACTTTACTCGACTTGGTTTGGCCGTGCTCCGTTTTCCATTGCAGATAGTAGTAGCTGGTCGTCATAGCGACGCCACACACAACTTGCACGACGTAGTGTTTAATGCGACACACAGCACATCTTGATTTAAGAGTGTAAAGACAGATGAGCGGTATGAAAACCTTCCAGCTGTGTTTTCCTCTGCCGTTGTTGCTGCAGCGGTCTTTGAGCGGGCGGCTGGCCGGCCTCACACGCTCCTCAACGCTGAAAACTTTCTACACAGCTGATTTCTCCCCTCAAAACTTCTCAGAAGTGGATTTAGTGATGAAATAATGTATTAAAATTGCAAAATAAAACTTACTGTTGCTGGCCTCTGTCCGGCGCGCAATGATGACACAGTGAATAGTGACGATTCTCTCTGACCAATCAGCAGTCTGGTATGTTTTCACATTTTAGTATCGCCTCTGCTCACTTGGACCTGGAAGCAGGTACAACTTTTACACAATGGAAAACCAAACAGAGGCGAGTAGAGTCGAGGCGAGCTGGTACTGTGCAGTGGAAAAGTGGCTATAGAAAGGTGTCAGAACGCAGTTCAATATTATCATTATTAACACACTGCAACCTCACATGTTGATGCTACAGGAATTATCAGTCAGTCCACTCGTGGAAGTTTGGTTCGTAGAAAGTTCAATAAACTGAATCTTTTTCGGTTTCAGGGAGTCAAACTGGTGTCACAGGTGTTATTGTAGGTTTGGTGGTTGGAGCCATTTTGTTTGTAGTTGTAGCAGCAGGACTTGTTGTGCTGTACTACAAATGTAAAAAGGTAAAAAAACACATTCTGCCTTCACCTGCTAATTATTTATTGTATGTGTTGTTTATACTGATGATGATGATGATGTGTTGGACACAGAGAGGAAGAAGAACAGACAGGGTACTGTGACAACTTCATATGGTAAGTGTCAAGGCTTGCTGAGTGAGTGCAGCAGGAGTGAGCCCAAATGCAAGACACTGTGAGCAGAGAGAGAGAGTTCCAGGGTTTATTTATCCCAAGCACGACAAACAGGTATGAACAGAACTCACGAGTACAGGAACTGGTACATCCAAAAGGTAGCAACGGGTAGAAACACGACGTCCGACAGGACTGACATGCGACAATGCGACAGGGAATAAACAGAAACACCAGACATTTATACACAGGGACTAACGAGCAGGGCGGGAGCAACACAGGTGACTGGGATCAGGGTAACGAGGCAGAGAGACGCAAGGGGAAAACAGACAGACTGGATGGCATGCAGATTACTGAAGGAAACAGAGAGACAGGCAGAGACAGCGAAGGGGAACAAAGAGGCAGGCAGACAGAGTAATAACTGAGGGAACAGACGGAGCACTAGTACTGGCAGACATGGGGCAAAATAATCAACACAGACTGAACACATGTAACAAAATACCAGACAAGAATCTAACTCAGACAATAACAGAAACCCAAGTGAACAGACAAACACCGACCAACTCTAACACAGGGATCATAACAGACCTAAACGAGAACCCAGAACTAGAACACAGAGTACCGAGCAGACTGAACCGAAATGATGCAGAGAAAGAACTAGAAGCAAATACTACAACATGAACTAAGGCACAGGACTAGGAACAAAGACATGGAACAAAAACCCAGACTCCCCAACAAAACACACAGACAGGACTGAAACCCAGACACAGAGAAAACAAAATCAAAACACAGAGAAGACATGGCCAAAATACTATAATCCAGACAAGCCCAGGACCGGATCATTGGGATCGACAGTAAGTATATCGTCTGTACTGAATACAGAAGAATTCTTTCACAATGAGTTCACATTTATCATCATTTTATCATTTTGCACTGCATGACAAGATGTCCAACAACCCACTGCTGCAGTGAAATCAAGGAAGCTGTGCTGCTCTGACATTTGGCTGCATTTGGCTGCACTAAAGTGAGCAAATCTTTCTCACTACTAGCAATATAACACCATAACCCACCTGGACCTCGATAACATACAGTCGAACCATCACCTTTTTGATAGTTTTTACTAAGCTTGTATGAACTAAGTAGAAACATCACTAAGATCTGTAGGTTTGGGATTTTCTGTAGGTTTAACGTATGTGCAGAAGGTTTTAGTCAATGTAAGATGTCTGGGGTCAGAGAGTTCATCTGTCTGTAGCTGCAGCCTGTAAGTCGAAATGTTGTTAAAACCATTTTATATGCAGTCTGTATGCAACCTCATCCCATTATTGCATGTTACTAACACAACTTCTCCCCTTTCCGGTAGTCTTGTGCTTTCTCGTCCCTCTCCTCTCTCCTCCTATCACTTCCTGCAGGTTTTCTGGCTCTGGAGCTGTGGAGTCTGGATCTGTGGTTGCGGGTCACCTGCTGCCCCCGTGTTCCTGCTCGACACCCTCTGCTACAACAACTATTGTTACTAGACCTATTGTTATTATTATAATCATTAACACTACGATTGTTATCATTAACACTACTTTAAATATCTGTACCATTTTTCATTTAGTCTATAGCAACATCACCTTTACTGTCTGTACCTCTGTGTGGATATTGTGTAGGCTGCCTCCCTCCCCTCTCTCTCTCCTTACATCCCTCTCTCTCTCTCCTTCTCTCTCTCTCTCTCTCTCTCTCTCTCTCTCTCCCTCTCCCTCTCCCTCTCTCTCTCTCTCTCTCTCTCTCACACACCCCAACCGGTCGAGGCAGATGGCCGCCCACCCTGAGCCATGGTTCTGCTCGAGGTTTCTGCCTCTTAAAGGAAGTTTTTCCTTGCCTCTGTCGCCTAGTGCTTGCTCTTGGTGGGATTGTTGGGTTTCTGTAAGTAGCATCATAGAGTACGGTCTAGACTTGCTCTTTTATGAAAAGCGTTGTGAGAAAACTGTTGTGATTTGGCGCCATATAAATAAAATTGAATTGAATAGTTTGAGGAAAAAACAGCTTTTACATAATGCTGTTTTTAATCTTCACAAGCACTAGGGGTCTTCTGTTGTTTTACTACAACACTTAGAGAAGAAGCAACAACCCACTGCTGCAGTGAAATCACGTCACGCTGTGCTGCTCTGAAGTTTGATTTCTTTAAACTAATGTGAGCAAAACTTCCATGGAGAAATCCACGTGGAAAAACAATCAAAAGTAGCCGCTAGGGTTTGGACAAACTCAGTCTTAACACTAAGACCGAGTACGAGTATTATACGTGTAATATGAGTCAATATCTGTGGTGGGATTGAATAAAAATCCTCATTGGGTAGCTGTAGTGTGATAGGCTGGTCACAGCGCCCCTCCCCTACACACACATACACTGAAATACAGTGTGTGTGCGTGTAAAATTATTTTTAGTGCACCCGGAAGCTGTTGTAGTGTAACAGGAAGCCTTAGATTTCTGTACTAACTTTAAAAATAAAAGCATAGCTAACATGATGAAACATGGATTTCAGTGTGAGTGGTATTCCTTGTTCAGAGAGATTGTTTATCTAAGCAATTATATGAACAGTTACTCATTTATTATATTTATATATTTAGTTCAGCATCCCTAAACCTACAGGGAGGGATATTTATTGTATGTCACATTTAATTTTTGCTCCTCACCTTCAGATATTTTATAAACTTTATCTCTGTATTCACATGAAACCTACAATATTTCACTTTATGATCTACAATATGCAATGATCTGCTGAGCTTATTATACACATTCTACATGCATTTTGACCATCAATATGAAGCTAGCTGCATCAGTGACTTCCTGTTACAATGAAACAGGCACTGAAATGACTTCACAGGCACACACTTAGATACAAACACAGACAAGTAGCCTGTATCCTACTCCGTGTGTTTGTGTGGTGTGAATATTTTCAGTGTGTATGTGTACTTTGTCAATGTGTTTTCAGTGTGTGTGCCATTTTCAGCATTATAATAATGCGTTGATAAGAAGTGTTCTCATGAGCTGTATGAAAATATCAGCCTTATTCATTCAGCTCGGCTGTGTGTCGGCGTCTCCACGTTCTCTTTAAAAAAAACTTGTCGCTACTTCAAAAATTAGATTAATTTATTTAACACACTCAAAAGTCTCCAAACACTGTTCTAAATTAACTTCATAAAGCAATGAAACGAAAACTCCATTCATGCCATAAACTGTGCTCAAATAATGTTTGAAAGACTGAATCTGAACATTTAGACTGCTGAAAACTCACAGCAGGCCTTAGAAAGCTATACTAACCTAAATAGATAGCCGACGTTCATATTAAAATTCAGTATTTCAATATCCCTACCAAACTGCTCATTATATTCAGCCTCATAAGAAAAATAAAACCCATTTATTTTAACGGCTGCATCAGGGTGTGTGAAACGGATTTGGGAGCAAATAAAAAAATATTAAACACATTTAAAGGCAGTAAGTAGGCTGATCCTGCTGTACTGTAAAAACCTGTAGGCAACATTAGCCTAAGGCTTTTAATCAGTCTCTGTATGATTATATCGTTATAGTCAAGAGTTTCTTCACATCACCGCTGCAAACATAAAGCAGCCTATTGGCTAAAACAGTCCTACAGATGGTGATGTCATTTTCCAAGAGAGCTGATTGGTCAGTAGGAGGCGTTTTCAGAGTTAATCTCTTTTCTGGAACATAATCTGCTCCGGAGCAGATTAGCCTTCAGCATAAATTACCATGGCGATCTACCCCGGTGAAAACCCAGGGTTAACCCGAAGTTACCTGGATAAACTTAAATCCTGCTTCGTGGTACAGGCCTCTGGCGTGGAAATAAAAAAAATTAAAAAGAACCAAAAAAAATAAATACATCACACTGATCATAACAAAATTATAAGTTAAAAAAAGAAAGTTATGTTGAGTATGAAAACTCTTGTTCATTACAGTTTACTTCATAATTGCAACCGCATGTGTTGTATTCATTGTTGCAAAACTTCTTCTGTATATAGTTTGTTTGTCATCCTGATCAAAACCATTGATCTGAAGCTCAATGCTGTCATGTAAATAGTTTTCTAATCAGCAATAAATATAACAATTTCTGATCAACCCATATCAATTGTATGCTTAAAATAACATACCGTTTCACACGAGAAGATGTTCACAACAACAGTTTGGCCTTCCTGGACTGCGCTGTACACATTGAAGAGGACAGGAGCCTGCAGATTGGTGTTTACAGAAAACCCACACACACAGACCAATACCTACTGTTCGATTCCCACCACCCACTGGAGCACAAGCTAGGGGTCATGAGAACACTGCACCACAGAGCGGAAAACATACCAACAAGCGCCCAAGCCAGAGAGAAGGAACAGAACCACCTGAAGGGGGCACTTACAGCCTGTGGATACCCTAAATGGACCTTTGTGAAAACAGCCACAAGATCCAAGAAGAACAAAACTACAGGGGAGGAAAAGAAGGTCAAACGCAACAACATTGTGATTCCATATGTGTCTGGAGTATCAGAGAAACTCAGGAGGATTTTCAACAAACATAACATCCCTGTGTTTTTTAAACCCAAGAACACACTAAGACAGATGCTGGTCCACCCCAAAGACCGCACACCCAAACACAAGAAAAGCAATGTAGTGTATGCGGTCCAATGCAGTGAGGAATGCACAGACCTGTATATTGGGGAGACTAAACAACCACTACACAAACGCATGGCTCAACACAGAAGGGCCAACTCCTCAGGTCAAGACTCTGCAGTCTACTTACATCTGAAGGACAGAGGACACTCGTTTGAGGACCACCAGGTGCACATTTTAGACAGAGAAGATGGATGGTTTGAAAGAGGTGTCAAGGAAGCATCTACACCAGGGTTGAGAAGCCGTCATTGAACAGGGGAGGGGGTCTACGCCACCACTTATCCCCCACTTACAATGCTGTCCTTTCATCACTTCCCAGGAAACTCAACAAACGTAACCTATTGGCCTCAGGTGAAGATACCAACGATGGTCGTTCAGTCTTGGCCACAGGTAGTCTTAACGACTGTAACGACTGTCGTCACAGCAACAAGAAACACAAACGAACCAGCGGTATCGATGACCCGGGATAACGACCCCACTGAGGTTA